TCATCACTTTTGAATTTTTCCTTTGATTTTTTATTTGTATTCGCAAAGATCGAAATGCCTTAGCATGAAATAATTAGGTTATGTTTGAAGGTTGGAACAAACATTGCCTTTAACGTTACTTTGTGTTAAGGCATTGTAGGGATTCGGTGTTACCGAAAAACATTTCCCCAACATAATATAGGTTTATAGCTTGCTGAGGGTAGCCTTTAGAACCAGTTATACGAATTTTTTGAAGGCCTTGGTTTTGTTACGAGTCTCGAACGTCTCCGAGTCGTGTAAATATGGACGTAGCCTTTCGGGCAATGCGAAATACGATTTTGTGTCCTCGGGTTTTGTTGACCCGAGAATGGCCTTAGCCTTTTAATTTAGGCAATGGCTACAGTCCCCGAGTGAAGTGAATGTTCAAACTCGGATCAAGGTGGCCCTTGGGCTCGATACCTTTAGGGGATGGGTTTAGGAAATTCCTTAAGAAATGCAAGAAACGTTTTTGAGGACAAGATATTTATGTGCAAAGAATAGTCTTCTTTCTTATTCTTGTGCATAATAGTTGTACATGTATACATATTTTGTGCCAGGGCTCGAGCGGTTTGAGCGGGCACGGTTCTTTTGACCCTTAGGTGTACATGTTTAGCCATTACAATAAATCATATTGATCGATACCTTTCAATCACGAAGTTTCTACCCTTGTTAAATTCGATATCCGAGGATATTGGCCCCTAGTGTTCGGGGTTGACCAAAGAGAGGCCTCGAATACTGTTGTGATCATTTTCACCGGTTCGTAGCCGTCCTTTGATTCTAAGTTAGCACGATTTACTTGTTTCCTCGTTAAAAACCTTGTCAGAAAACCCATTTGGGATAAAGCCGGTTCAAGGGAAAAGAGTGCAACGCGTGCTTTCAAGCCTAGGGTCTCGTATCATCCTTTGTTGGTTATTTGCAATTGTTAGTTTAAAATGTAAATAAAAGAAAGAAAGAGATTTCACCTTAACAGTAATATCGCTTTAAGTGAGTTATATTCCAGTTGTTTGGTAGTTGCTCGTCGTTCATTGTTCCGAGCTTGTAGGATCCTTTCCCGATGATCTCGATAATTCGGTATGGTCCTTCCCAGTTCGATCCCAATTTCACTTCGTTCGGGTTTCGGGTGCTTAGTGTGACATTTATTAGTACCAAGTCCTCGGTATTGAAGTGTCGAAGGTTGGCCCTTCAATTGTAATACCTTTCGATCTGTTTTGGGTGGCCAACCGGACAAGGGTAGTTTCGCGACTTTCATCTAATATCTCCAGGCGCATACTCATAGCTTGGTCATTTGATTCCTTCGTTTCATATAGGAGTCTGATGATTGGCTATCCAACCTCGACTAGTATTAAAGCTTCAGTGCCATAAACCAAAGAAAACGGGGTTGCCTCGGTACTGGACTTCGAGGTTGTACGATACGCCCAGAGGACCTCAGGTAGCATTTCCTTCCATTTTCCTTTGGCGTCGGTTAAGCTCTCTTTAAGGCTTTGGAGTATGGTTTTGTTGGTAGTTTCAGCTTGCCCATTCCCACTTGGGTGATAGGGAGTGGATAAGATCCTTTTGATCTTATGGTCTTCAAGAAACTTTCTTACTTTGCTGCCAATAAATTGTTTCTCGTTGTCGCTCACAATCTCGACGGGTATTCTAAACCGACATATGATGTGGTCCCAGATAAAATCGATGACTTATTTTTCTATGACCTTCTCGTATGCCAGTGCTTCCACCCATTTAGAAAAATAGTCAGTCATAAATAAAATAAATTGAGCCTTACTGGGTGTCCGTGGGAGGGGACCGACGATGTCCATCCCCCAATTCATGAAAGGCCATAGTGAAAAGACCTAATGTAGAAGTTCTCCGGCTCGATGAATCATGGGAGCATGCCTTTGACATTCATCACATTTTTCTACGAACTCCTTTTCATCTTATTCCATGTCGATCCATTAGTAACCGACAATGATTATTTTTTGAACCAGTGATTCGGCACCCGAATGATTTCCACAGGTACCTTCGTGGATTTCCCTCAAAAAGTACTCAGTATCCCTAGCCCTAGACATATCGCAAGTGGGCCATCAAATGTTTTTCTGAACAGGGTTCTGTGTTCAGCCATGCTAAATTGGGCTGCCTTTATACGCAGGGCTCTCGATTCTTTCGGGTTCGAGGGCAGTTTTCTGGTCCTGAGATATTCCACGTACTTATTCCTCCAGTCCCAAGTTAGGCTCATCGAATTGATCTCGGCGTGGCCTTCTGCCACTATCGATCTCATAAGTTGTATGACTTCTCCAGAGTTGATCTCGTTTTCTTCGAACGACGATCCCAAGTTAGCGAGGGCATCGACCTCGCTATTTTGATCCCGAGGCACATGTTGCAAAGTCCATTCTTTGAACCGATGTAATGTCACATGTAACTTGTCCAAGTATCTCTGCATTCGTTCTTCTCTGACCTCGAATGTCCCATTAACTTAGTTTACCACAAGGAAGGAGTCGCTCTTGGCTTCGATTAACTCTGCCCCCAAGCTCTTGGCTAGTTCAAGGCCTGCAATTATGTCCTCCTATTCGGCCTCGTTGTTAGTCAATTTCACAGTTTTAATGGATTGTCTGATTATATTACCTATTAGTGGCTTTAGTACGATGCCAAGTCCGGACCCTTTTGCGTTTGAGGCGTCGTCTGTGAATAGGGTCCAGATTCCCGAGGAAGTTCCGGAGTTAACCAGCAACTCTCTTTCGACCTCGGGTATTAGGGCCGGTGTAAAGTCATCCACAAAGTTTGCCAATATTTGAGACTTAATGGCGGTCTGAGGTCGGTACTCGATATCGTAACCACTTATTTCTACGGCCCATTTGGCCAATGGGCTCGAGAGTTCGGGTTTATGCAAAACCTTCTTCAACGGGTAAGTAGTTACGACACATATGGGGTGACATTGGAAGTACAGCTTTAGCTTCCTAGAGGCGCTTAGCAAAGCGAGTGCCCGTTTTTGCAGGTGAGGGTACCTAGTTTCGGCCTCACCTAAGGTCCTACTAACATAGTAAATTGGAAATTGCGTACCTTGCTCTTCCCGAACTAGGACTCCACTTACCGCTATCTCCGAGACCGCCAAGTACAAGTACAGTCATTCGTCTGTCTTTGGTATGTGAAGCAGAGGGGGGGTCGATAAGTATCTCTTGAGTTCCTCTAAAGCTCATTGGCATTCCGGTGTCCACGAGAAATTATTCTTTTTCTTCAACTGAGCGAAGAATCATTGGCCCTTGTTGGACAACCTCGAAATAAATCACCCCAGAGTGGCCATTTGCCCGATTAACCTTTGCACGGCCTTTACGTTGTCCACGACCGTGATATCTTCGATGGATTTGATTATATAGGGATTGATCTCGATTCCCCAATTGGATACCATGAATCCGAGAAACTTGCCTGACCCAACTCCAAACGCACATTTTTCTGAGTTCAGCTTCATATTGTATTGTTTTAGTATGCTCAAGCTTTCCTGTAAATGTTTTAAATGGTCCTCTGTTCGTAGGAACTTAACTAACATGTCGCCAATGTAAACTTCCATTGAGTTTCCTATTCGTTCTTCGAACATCCGATTTTCTAGGCGTTGGTATGTGGTACCAGCATTTTTTAATTCAAACGGTATTACATTATAATAGTATGTGTCGTATTTAGTGATGAAGGAGGTTTTTTCCTGATCCCCCGGGTCCATCAGTATTTGGTTGTACCTGGAATAGGCATCGAGAAAACTGAGGATCTCATGGCCGGTCGTGGGATCGATCATATGGTCATGTTGGGCAAAGGAAAACAGCCTTTGGGGCATGCTTTATTCAACTCTTTGTAATCTACACATATTCTTAGTTTATTTCCTTTTTTAGGGACTACAACTACGTTTTCTAACCAATCCGGGTATTTAACCTCCCAAATGGACCCTATTTTAAGGAGTTTAGATACCTCGTCATTGATGAAAGCATGTTTGACCTCGGATTAGGGCCTCCTCTTCTGCTTGACCGATTGATTTTTGGGTCCAGGCTTAGCTTGTGAGTGGTTATCTCCGGTAGTATCCCTGTCATATCAAGATGGGACCAAACAAAACAATCTATGTTAGTTAAAAGGAACTGAATAAGTTTTTTTCTGAGTTCGGGAGTTAACCCCGTGCCCAGGTACACCTTTCGATCGGGTAGATACTCGACCAATATAACCTGTTCCAGCTCTTCGACCATCGATTTGGTTGCGTCGGAGTCATCGGGGATTATAAAAGACCGGGGAACCCCGTAATCATCGTCTTCATAAGTCCCTCGCTCACCTGGTTGGGTCGTGACTTCTATTTAACCTCTTGGTTTGCGCCCGAATTCGGTTCTTTCGATGTTGCGAGTATTAATTTTGGAATCACTTCTTCGACTGCAAATATCTCTTTTGCGGTCGGTTGTTCCCCGTAGATTGTCTTANATCCATGGCCTTCCGAGAAGGGCGATGTACCTCATGTCTCCTTCGATTACATAAAATCTGGCTTCTTGTATGGTTTCGGTGGTATTAACCGGTAACGTTATCTCCCCCTTGGTAGTTTCACATGCCATGTTGAAACCGTTTAGAAATCGGATTGCATGCATGATTTTGTCTTGTAGACTGAGCTGCTCCATGACCCTCAACAGAATGATGTTGGCCAAGCTATCTGGATCAAGCAACACACATTTAATTCGAGTTTTATTTACATGCACAGATATTACCAGTGCATCATTGTGAGGCTGTACGATCTCTTTTGTATCCTCGTCGCTGAAAGATAAAATTCCTTCTGGTATGTAGTCTCGAGTTCGTTTCTCCCTAGTAATGGATACTTTGGTGTGTTTCAACATTGGCCCGGTGGGATGTCGATTCCACCGATGATCATATTTATGACATGTTGAGGTTCGGTATCCTCTCGTTCTGTCTGTTTGTTAGAATCCTTGTTCCTAAAATGGTTGTTGGCTCGGTCGCCCAAGAATTCTCGAAGTTTTTGAATAAACGGGATACTTCTTCTCTCAGTTGTCGACAGTCTTCCGTTCTATGACCGTGAGTGCCATGATATTTGCACTTCTGGTTAGAGTCCCTTTGAGCTGGATAGGATTGTAGAGGTCGAGGCCATTTGGTATCATTGATGCGCTCGGTAGCTGATACGATGGCAGCAACATCGAAATTAAAGTTGTATTCCGATAGCCTCGGTGCTTCTTTAGGCCCGATAGACCTGTTGAAGCTGTTTTTGGTCATAAGCCCCCGATTGCTTCGACCTTGGTCATTTTTCCTTTCGTTTCTTATGGGGTTCTGTCCGGACCCACTGCTCTTCCTATCCCCATTATATGGACGATATCAATCCTTGTTTGATCTTAGTTCACAATCGATGTCTCTCTTGACTCTGTCGAGGATTCTGACGGGATAAACAGACTCCGAAGTGGTCCCAAGTTGGTCATCTTCGACTCTGATTTTCAATTGATACCGATTATGTACATCGACCCAGGTAACGGCAGGGTATTCTATCATATTCTGCTTCAGTTGTTGTGAAGCCACCGAGCTCCGAATATTGAGTCCCTGAGTGAAAGCTTGAATAACCCAATCATTGGCGACTGGCGGCAGATCCATTCGTTCCATTTGAAAACGGGACACTAATTCCATGAGCATCTCGTTATCCTTCTGTTTAACTTTGAAAAGGTCTGATTTCCTGGTTTTGACCTTGATGGCACCAGCATGTGCTTTTACAAATGAGTGTGCAAGAATAGTAAATGAGTCAATAGAATTAGGAGATAAGTTGTGATACCATATCATAGCTCCCTTTGAGAGGGTCTTCCCAAATAATTTTAGTAGAACAGACTCGATCTCGTCGTCTTCCAATTCGTTCCCTTTGATGGCACATGTGTAAGAGGTTACATGGTCGTTTGGATCGGTCGTTCCGTTATATTTAGGTATTTCGGGCATACGGAATTTCTTGGGGATTGGCTTCGGAGCCGCGCTCGGAGGAAAAGGTTTCTGCACGATCTTCCTGGAATCCAGTCCTTTCAGTATCAGAAGTGCTCCCGGGATTTGATCTACTCTGGAATTGTAGGTTTCCACCTTTTTGTTATTCGCTTCGATTTTCTTTTCCCCTGATACTATCCGTTTTGTTAGCTCCTCGGGCATCTTTATAATCTCGGAGTTAGTACCCGATTCTTGTTCATTTGACCTTACTATAACCAGTTCATTTCTGCGAGTGACTTCACGGGGCGGATCGGGTTCAACCCTTCTCGGTGCCTGGCTTTGGCTCTGCAACTGAGTTATCGCCACCTGTTGAGCTTGCAGAATTTCGAAGATCATATGTATGTTGATTCCGTCTTCTTCATTATTTTGTGTGTTTCGAACTGCCGATCGGGCCCCACCACGGATGCTATTTTCGGGGTCAGTAAGCAGGTTTGCATCAATAGCAACATGTGACTTAACATCAATCGGATCTGCGATTGGAATCCCAACGGGACCAGCGGGTGGCCCTACGTTACCGGGCGTCGTGTAGTTATTCTCACCCTGATGACCGGACTCGTTATTGATATGTAGGGGTGCTAATCGAGAGTTTGACATTTTTTTGTATGAAATCAAAGACACTTCAAAGAGCAAGCGTAAAGTAGTGTGTGTTATGGAGATTTGTATCAAATAACCACTTTTATCCTTAGCCCCACGGTGGGCGCCAAACTATTTACCCTCAAAATCGGATAACAATTGAATTTATTAGTGGTTTTAAAGATATGCGGATTAACTTGATACAAAGCGATAAATTAGATTGCAATTGAAATAAATGACATTAATTTAACTATAAATCACGTGAGTTGGATGATTTCAATGTAAGGAAACAAGCCACCCACGTGAGTTGGATGATTTCAACGTAAGGAGGCAAGTCACCCTTGAGTTAAATACACTTGTATTGACACAAAAATATCAAAGAGCAAGAACTTAGAGAATGTATTGCTTATCAGTATATGTTACCATGTTCCTAATGAATTGTCAAGTCCCCTCTATATATTAGGGAGATATACCTTTTAAGGTATTATTTTATTGTTCTATAAAAGGCGAAAGTCATTGATTTGTTGACCGTTGGTTCCCTTTTTGAGTCGTTCCGTGATTTCTGCGATAATGACTGGTTAATGGCGAGAATTACGGACCCCTATCGGATGAGTTGGTAAAGCTTTCTTCGAGGCCGTTGGAAACAAGACCGGTTACGCCTTCGGTAAACTTGAGGGCAAATCTGATGGTTTCGATGGCTAACTTTGACAATGTTTTGGGTTGGACCATAATCACCATGTGTCGATCTTGGCCGATGGTGTTAGACGTCAGATCAATCTTCGAGTTAAACTTCACCCGATCACAAATATTTCGACCCTGGCCTAATCAGGGAGTTCGGAAGCTCGATCGAATATCGAGCTCGGTTTTATCCGTATACAAGCTTTTTGCAGTGACGGTTAGAAAAAATTATGTCTCTCGTACTGTAACATATCATGCATCTGAAATTAAAACTTGTGATTTTGAAATCATAATTTGCAAGAGATCTGGATAAATCGACAAATAAATTGATGGTGATCAATTTTATGTTTATTCTTTTTCTATTTCCTGGACTAAGGAAACGTGTACCATAAAAGCCAAATTTGGGCAGCCATAAGAGCAATATAATATCGGTGTCATGTTCAACAAAATACAAAGAACTGTGCGTATGTGTGAGAGAGAGCTCACATTATTAGGTCATCCACCCATTTCTACTTTGACGATATCTTCTTCTTACACGTAAAATAGATTTCTATTTTGTCTTCTGCAGCCACTCTCTTATGCACCGACGATCATTTTTTCTTTATTTAGTTAGTTACTTATTTATTTGAAGCATCTTTAGCCAAGCAAATGACTCTTAATCACACTTATTCTTCAATTCTTTTGTTTGAGAGTATTGCTTTTATGAGCTGTTTGCCATTTGCGTATGATTCACAATTATTAATTATATATGTTTCTTCCCAATTTCTTATCTCTTACTCTTAGTTGTTTTTTTCTTTGTCCAATACTTTGCAATAACACCATACAATTTGATCAATACTATCCGGTACAATTGTTGAAACATATGGTACGACTACGATTAAGAGCGGAACTACAGTTTCGCTTTTGAGTTTCGCATAATTCAACAGTTTTAGCCCAATTCTTATATAAGCATTAAAAATTTACTTAATATATACAAATAATTTATTCAAGATCCAATAAATTACTTTTAATAGAGTTTAGATCTCATAAATTTAAAATTATAGCTTCGTCCCTAAATATGATATATATATATATATATATATATATATAGTAGAGAAAGATTGTGATGAAAAACCTTGTGTTGTCTACAAAAAGCATTGAGCAAAGTTGTTATTGAAATGATTCCTATTCAAAATAAGGTATACGACATATATCGAAAGACGATTCCTATAGATATTCTTTACAGTTCAATAGTATCAAACTTTCATTATTGTCTAATGAAAGTATGATGAGTCTAGAGTATCTCTTATAAACAACGGGAAAAGACGTGTTTGTCGGTACTAATTTTAATAGTACTTCAATTATTGGGAATACTGTTTTACCTCATTAATTAACTTTTTATCAGCTGAAAAGGTGTTTTCCGAAAACGTCTTTTAGAATAAAAGAAACAAGCTTTATCAATTCAGAGAAAAGATGTAGAAACACGTTTGATTTTAGAAATGGTAGTTAATTTGGAAGTATATCCACATTTACCAATTTAGTGTTTCTTTTCGTATGGTCCGGTATTACTAATAGGAGTACCTTTTTTTTTCACATTTCTATGTAGCATTAACTAATACATATATTTTTCACAAGTAATATGGGTAATACTACGAAAAATAAAATGGAAACCAGAAAGTATATCTAATTATGCAAATTTTATACTGACAATCAAATAGTGATGGTAAGCAGACATTTAACCATAGTATGAATTGTTTTATTAGACCCTTCTCTATGCGCGAGTCAAACAAACCCATAATGTTTTAGGAGTATAACTTTTGCCAGTACACACTCTTTCTTTTTTATTTTAGGGTCAAAAGGAGGTTATTTCCTATTTAATCAGTTGCGAAAGTGTGAGTTTATACTTGCTGTTTGAAGTGGCCTTCAAACCTTATCTCTTTGTTATATTACTACAAATTTGGCCATTTTCTTTTATTTTCCTCAGCCGGCGGCTCAGCCCAATATGGGTGTGATAATTTCCCACTAGAACACTTTACCTAACAAACACTTGCATAATAATTAATCCTGGCAACTAATCGAAATGCCCTAACTTGTTACGCACTTTCTGAAAAAAGCACCAAAAACATGAGGTTCTTTACTTTTTAATTAAATTAACTTCCAAGAATTTCTTTAGGTGATATTTTAATTTTTAATTTAAGTTATATGCACTGAAAATTACTTTTTGTAGCAAATTTAATATAATAAATTAAAAAATATTGTATTAATATATTAAATCGGTTAAACTAGACTGATAGTGGGATAGGCATATAACTTAAATCCCTCTACTTTAGGATCTTAAAACGTTTAGCTAACAACCATTGAAAATTTAACTATGAAAAAAGCAGAGTATAGATTCAGAGTAATTTATACTAAGAAATCACCAAGTACAGAACTTGTGATTTATATGTTAACAGTATGTACAAGTCAAATAAGTTGTAGTGATAATCGTAGTTCACAAAATCATCCCTCCCCCCACACACCCTAAATTGTTATATTCAATGAATCTTTAGAAACCAAAAGAGAAATGAGGAAAATAACAAGTCATGGTTTGGCAGACTATCTTAATTATTCACCCAATACAAGAACTTGTAGATCACAT